GACAGAAAACGTCCATACTTACATACACATTGAAATAAAATATTTGTTTGTTTTTCAATTCCAGATATGTTTAAACTGTAAAGTATAAAATGTATCAACCCTGGGGAAAAAAGCATTAGTACTGAATGGTAAAAAACGTGTGNGTCCTTTGTGCTCGACGGTTGCGATGTTTATTTGGAATAATTTCTCACCATTCATTGGCCATGGTTTAATGACAGAAAACGTCCATACTTACATACACATTGAAATAAAATATTTGTTTGTTTTTCAATTCCAGATATGTTTAAACTGTAAAGTATAAAATGTATCAACCCTGGGGAAAAAAGCATTAGTACTGAATGGTAAAAAACGTGTGCATTCATTTTAAATATACAATCATGTCTGTGTGCGAATGCTTCTGTTACATTCACATTCTATACTGAATGTCAATCTACCATTCAATAACACAACACAGTTTCTTTGTTTTCAAGTATTTTAAGCCACTCAGTAATGAGGTTTTTTTTATACAAACAAACAATCAAAATTTTGAAAAGAATGCCGAGTGAATGCAGATCCTACTAATTCAATCATTTTACAGCTCTGTTAACTTGTACTATTTTTTGAGAGAAGTCTATCAATGTTTTTAGAGGGGCAAGAATATTTACTCCGAGTATACATTGAAAAGGTTTATTTTTTAGGTTCAAGAGCTTTACGGACATTGTTTCTCCTTCTCTTTCGAATTCATGAGGAATGTTTACTATGACTTCTTCTGATATAACTTCAGATGCAAAGAGTGTTTTTATCAGAATAGGGCTTTTTAATGTTCTACGACTATGAAAATTCCCAAACGTCTTAAAATCGCCTAACGTTGTAGCAGAGCCAGTATCGACTAGACACCTTACTGAAACGCCCTCGATAGTCAAATCTATCAGGGGTAAGTCGGTCGATCTGGAGAAAGCTGAAAATTTTCAATATTGTCCACTTCCATTGGAACAACAGGTGGCTGGCGATAATGCCTTGTGGTGTTAGTAAACCTCCCAGAATTATTTCTAAAATTTCTATGACTATCTGATCTACCCCGAACATTCCAACTGGCATTATATCGACCGTAGTTATTAGCATTGCTATTAAAGTTTCCGGAATAGTTGTTTTCAAAATTACTGTGGTTTAAATTAGAATTTCCATTACCAAAATTCGTATTAATATTAGGAGAATTATTTGAATTATTTCTATGGAAATTGCTATTAGCTTGGCTACTTTTATTAATATTTCTTGTATTATGCAACCCCTTAGAAGTTTTAAGAAAACCATGATTATCTTTAGCATTTTTTGTACGAGCGTCTACCTTCGTATCACCGCCGCTCACATCAATATCTTTTAACATGTTATTTTGTAAATAATAAGTGAATGCATTTTCCATATTGTTTATCTCATTTTGCAACAACAAAGTCTTTACATTAAAGGTCAAAAATTGTAAATATACATCAAATATTAATTTTGAGTTATTATCTGGCGCATGATAAAAACATAGCAAGGTAGAACCGTTCTCTCATTTTGTCGGCCATGATTTTTTTTTGAAGTTTGCCAGCATTTTAAAATCATATAAAATTGAAAATAAAAAATTGAAATTATTCGAAATTGTTGTTGCTTGAGATTGAAAATGAAAATGTGTGTGTGAGTTTGTGAGTAAATTTAAAAATTAAAATGTTTGGAAACGTCAAGAATTGTAAAAGTGATTCTCAGCGGCTCTACCTTACTATATTTTTATCATGATCTGGCGTGTATAAAGCATCACACGCACCCTCTAAAATATATTTAGTGTTCATTGTTTGTAAAATAGCTCCTAGCTTATTGTGTAAATCTTCAACATTTGAGGCCCTAACGTTCATAGCATCATTTCTTAAGTTTAAATATGTGGACTTAATACCAAATTACTCTTTTAGCTTGTTTAGTACATCGTCAAGAGTCGGCTCGTTTAGCTGGTGAACCACATGTAATGCTCGTCCCTTTAATTTGTTGCACAAAACCTTAGATATGATGGACCTTTCTTCCTCGTTTGTCAGCGATAAAATTGTTGCAACGTCTCGCAAATAATGTGTTAAGGTGTAGTCACTTTGACCGTTGAAAAAGGGAATATTCCGTGCTTCTCTTAGCGCCTCTGCTAATGTCAATGCCATTTTATTATTTTAGTTATTGTTTCGTTTGCTTTTTTTTTTTTTTTTTTCGTTTTGGTCTGGTGCTTTCAGTTCTATTTGATTTAAAATTTGCCGTTTAATTGAAGTTGTTCTAATTGAATTTGAATTAAGGCGCACTAATTTAAGTTTTTGTTCGTAATTTCTTTTTTATATTTGTTCGCATCTAATTCTCTACAGTTTAAATTGCAGCATTAGCTTGACAATGTTTTTTTTAAATTATTGGTTCAGCAACATTAATAACGTACCGCGAGGAACATTCACTTTAAACCAACATGTTTTAACAGCATAAAAACGTCTTTGTTTAGAAACATTTATGTATATCAACATTCTATTCAACGCAACATGTTTTTGCTTTCTCAAATGTTTGTATGTTTGTCGGCAATAATGTATATAAACTGTATATTAAACTTTTATTGCTGAGCACCGAAACATTACTCTAACACAACATGTTTCTAGTATGTTAGCAACATTTGTGTTGCTTCGCAGCGATGTATATACACTTCTTTTTTAACCCTGGAGTGGCGGAAGAGCAATTTAGCACTTGTCTCTCACCTTTTGTATTTTTGTTGTGTTTTATGTGTATATCAATTGTACGGGCTGAGCAAAGTGACGGACAGTTATAACGGTTTGGAATTTTGCAAGCTGAAGCCAAATGCACTTTTTAAGTGATTTTTTAGTTGCTGTAATTTGGGAATACTCAAATGATTTGCGGTATTTTTGCCAATTATAGCTGCATTATGTTATACATATGTTTAATATATGCTCGATTTCAAGCGCTTTCAACGCGAAACAAATTTCTATAACATTGTCACTTTTTTTTCGCAATACAGTAAAGTAATTTTACACCAAACACCTCACAGTTTTTGCAATTACATAGAAATTTTTTGAGTTTATTACATAATTCCGTTTTTTTTTGTTCAAATTGGAAACTTTTACATAAAGTTAATTTTTTGCGTTTTTAATTGTTAGGTGCATTTAAAATTTTCAGTTCACAATTTTAGTGGTATAAAATTTTTTTTTTCAGTTTTTTATCCTCGTCGCCATTTAAGAGATAGGATTACTCGTTGTAATCAAACCCCGTTTTAATTATGTTTAATACATAATTTCTTTATTATTAGTAAAACACTAATTTAGTTATGCTTTATACAAAAAACATTTATTTAACTATAAGAACAACTGCGTTAACATTTAAAGTATTCTTAAACACGGACGTCTGATCGCTAGCTAACGATGACTCTAACTAACTCACTGACTAGCTAATTAATTTCCGATCGCGCTGATGAGCGCCTATTATACATATACATATGTACATATAACTTGTATACACATATATGTATATAAAAAAGTTCAATATGCAAACAAAGGTAATTTTTAAGCCGGAATGTTCACTGACTCCAATTGAATACTCATTTCATTAAGCAAAGCACAGTTATGCAGCTCTTGCTTTAATAATGACCTCTCGTAAATGAATGAGTCTTTGCATTTTCCTGGACTACCAACATTAATATAAAGAAAACGATATCTACAAAAGAGGTGTAGTTTTATTTACGTTAAAAATATACATACATACAAATATAGTTCAAAGGAAGGAAAATTTACCTGGCGTCAACTAAAGCCAAAAGCACGGTGGAATACCACCCTTTGTATTTGAAGTAATCGACGGCTNAAAATATACATACATACAAATATAGTTCAAAGTACCCTTTGTAATTGAAGTTGAACGGCTCCATCATGTTTTGGATGTATTTCTATGTGACAACCATCTTAGAAAATTAAATGAGAAAAATCAATTGAGTGAATCGTACAAATATATTTACGCCATAAAAACATACCAATTGCACCAATGCATTGAGGAAACCCAATTTGGTTGAACCCAGACATGCACTCTCGTATCTTTTCTCTACTGAGAGGGAAGTGATTAAGGTAAACAGGATCTAATACAATCCATGCTTGCTTGCAAAACTCTAACACGATTAAGCATACAGTCGATTTTGCAATTCCGAACATATTACCCACACTGCGGTACTCAGAAGATGATCCCAGGGCATACAGAGCAATGGCTACCCGCTTCTCAAGGCTAATGGCTTTCCGAAAATTTGTATCTTTCCTTTCCAAACATGAAAGAAGGCCGCATAGTTTGTTGAAGCTACTGCGCATCATGCGAAAATTGTTCCTAAAGAACTCCTCCCCATTACATTGGCAATCAATCTCCCAAAACATACCCTTCCGATTCTACAACGGCAAAGACATATGTATTAATAAAAATTGAATAACAAGAACTAGGAAATGTTGGTCTACCAGTTTCCAACGCATTTTAGTATGCGGTTTCTCCAAAATTGTTAATATCATCCATTGTTGATTCAAGCAAAACCACATCATATTCAATAAAAACTCACTTCTTGCACGGTAAACGGAAATGCTTTCAGCGCAAGCATTTTCCAATTCTACATACTTTTGGATGGTTGTAAAATATATTTTCACAATAAACAAAATAATATTTATATTTGAAGGCATTTTGAAAAAATAGCATAAAATGTTAACTCTTCTTCCAAAAGTCGCTGTCATACTTATTTATAAACTCTCAAAAGTATCCACCTTCTGATGAACCTAGAAAACTGCTTTAGGTCGTGTAGACTGTTAATCTTATCTTATGTCATGGTATGTTATGTTATAATTTTAAAAGGCTCGTATTTATCCAAATTTTCAGGTAATAATAAAAAAGGTTCGATTTAAATGCTCCTTGTTGTCGTAGTCGTTTTTTCAAATTTATGGCTTTCTATTATAAAATCACATAACGCTGTTTGCAAGCGGACTACTCAAATATTCAGTTCAGCATAATTTAAAGGAGAAAAACTATTTTCTTTGTTTACATTAAGGCATCCTTATGCGCCATACCTTTATATTTATCGTGCTTTAACTAATATAGTATATTGATCATCACTTGTACTACAAATCTTGTTCAATTATTAATATTAGGGGGGGTACGGTAACGACCAAATTTCTAAATTAAAATTAGTTTACTACGGTACATTCCGTTTAGATGTCTATTCGCTTAGCTGTTTTAGTATAGCTGCACTTTTCTGGTAGAATGCTTAATTCCGAAGGAGTTTTATTCATTATGAATGAAACTTTTCCGTCTAATAAAGCGTTCACATTGAGCCACTAACTCGAGTTTATGGCCCATTTTGGAGTTGAATGCTTAACTCTACGCTTAAACTCGGAGTTTACCATACAAAAAATTTCGTTAAACTCTCCTTACACACCACTTTTATTTGGAGTTTATGCGAATGCAACCCTTTTTTTTGAATAACCTTGGCTGCATGGTTGAAAAATTTGGCCTCACTGTTGAAAAATTTGGGCGCATTGTTTATTGTTTTGACAATTCATATTGTTTTGACAATTAGCATTTTACAATTTAATGGAAATTTAAAACTAGTGCGGGTACAATAAAAATGGGAACGCCAGTCAAGTAACGCAGGAAGAGGAGCTTTTGGGATAGCAAGGCAGAAGCTTGCTTTGTGGAATTGTGGGAGCAAAAGGTAGATGAGTTGCGCGGTGCACGCAAAAATACGCACGTCTACCAAGAAATATCCTCCGAGCTAGCAAAGCAAGGGTATGTCGTATCTGCCCAAGATGTGAAGTACAAGATAGCCAACCTGACTGCTAAATACAGGTACTATGTTAATATCTTTTAAAATTATGATTTACTAAAAGCATATTTCCTTCAGAAAATGCAAGGAGGCGATTGGACCCTCAGGAGGTTCACCGGCGTCGGGGCATTTGTACGAAGCTGTTCATAAAGTGATTGGCGCTCACCGTATAAACAACGTCAATGTTTGTGTGGAAGAGAGCATTGAATGTAAGTATTGTACAATTTCTCTGCTCCTTTACTCGTCCGGTTTACAAGATTTAGTCAGAAGTCGTTCCAAGTACGGTTTAATTATTTGTATAACAATTTTGGGTTGCTGTGCCCAAACGCGTGACCCTAATCAAAGACTTTTACACATACTTCTAGACAAGAGTCTACACTCTACTAATACAATATAATTTACTATATCTAAACATTAATTTATTAATAATTTTGGTTTGAAATATGGTCTTTTTTTGGCATAAGTGCAGTATAGCGGCCGTTGAGATAAAACAAAACTTAAAAGGGGAAGGAGTGACCTTTCATAAAGTGCGGCCCATCATCTGTCTTTTAGGGAGCCACGCCAGCTCCTCCTTCGCCCCCACCCCAAAATCGTTGTACAAATAACTAAACATTTACTGTCGTTCCATACCCACATTTACAATGTCTTTAATAATCGGCCCGATCGTGAATTTCACGTGAACAAATATTCCCAAAAATCATAAAGCAAAACAATTTTTCCCAATTTGTTTTGTTAATGTTATATGGGTACAGTTTATTCACACGGAATTTGCGACAGGGCTGAATATCTTCCGAGACAAATCAAGTTATTTGTGACTCATTTCTGTGAACCGGGCGAGCAAAGGAACATACAAAATATTAATTTATGTACATACAAATTCCATATTATTTAATTTATTTTTCTTTATTTGATTTCATTTTTATTACTATGTTTCAGGCAATTCACAGGAAACAAATGAATCCGCACCGTTAAGGGTGCCAGAGCCGTCATCTTCGTCATGGACTGAAGAACTCGCGTCAGCCTCTCCCCTATCCTCCACTGAACTGGCGCCGCCCTCGCCGCCTTCGGAACGAGCATCGTCTTCCAATGTGCGCGCAACAAGTAAATGAAAAGTTACTGACAATGTATGGGGAGTTCGGCAAGGATTTTAAGCAAGCAGTCCATGAGAACTTGGCAGTTAACGAAAAAATTGCTAAAGTAGAAGAAAAAAAATTGGAGGTTTTAAAAGAAATGAGGGATGACAATAAAAAACTTACCCAAGGTGTTTTGGATTTTTTAAGTCGTCAAAATTAATCAAATATAATATTGATTCAAATTCGGACAAGAAGGGTCCTATCTAACATTTTTATTTATTTGCAGAGTTGTTATAAAATTATAAAAATAAGAGTTTTTGATTGCGAATGTTTTAAAAACGCTGGTTTTTAATAACCACTGGAACTAATTTATTGATGTAGTCATATATGTAATACTTCTATATTGGCAGTAAGCTAACTTCTCAATGTGTAAGCATTCCGAAATCAAAGCGAGACAGTCTAGTGGCTGTTTTTGTGAATGTATTGTGTACGTGAGTGCAGTTTTTGTGTATGTGTTGTGTACATGTTTATTTATAAACGTATGTATGCCTTTTCTTTCGTACGTGTTCATTGATATATCTGTACTGTAATGTTTTCGGACGGTACTAGCTCTTACTGCCAATATAGGAGTATCACATATATGGATTTACTACTTGTTTTTAAATTTTATCGGGTCCTTAGTGAGTAATCTACCGACTTTTGTACCACTTCGAATTTCGGAATAAAATGAGATGACACTATCTCATTTTTATATTAAAGTAACGATATATTAAATTCAAATTATGTATGTATACATACATCGTCACCTGAAATGCAAAAAATCGTAACTAATAATTGAAATTCGATGAAATGCATCATATAAATCAAAAAGTGATTTGAGAAGCTGTCGAGAATTATAGCATTCTCTACAAAAAGGGGACTTAGTTTCGATATCGAGAAAGAGGTTAGATATCTAGTCGTTTTCTAAAGTTGAATTCTAATTGGTTTCTAATGTTTAGTGTTTTCTAATCATTCTTTAATCGAATTCTAAATAGTTCTCTAACATGATTTTCGATTCGAGAACTACACTAGAATTCTAATGTAAAATTGAAATATGAGTATACCCTTAGAGACTGTGTTTGCTAGGTTATTGGGACTTGGGTATAGTTGATGATTTGTAATTTTACGATTTAGAATGCACGCATATTTACCAAAATGTATACTGAGAGCGTTTATTATATCTTCGGCTTCATGTCTATTGTGCATCAAATTTGTTGAGTGATTTGGATAATTTGTATTTCGGCCCATATTTGTTTGCTCGCTTAACCAAATTGTAGGCATGTCATCTTTCTCCTCAATTAAAAAGTTGTGTAACGTGCAGCATGCCTTTATAACTGCATTCGCATTCTGGATGTTGTTATCAATTCCTTTACCAACCCTGCGGAATCTATAAACACACATACATTGGTATATGTATACACATATATGTATATAAAAAAGTTCAATATCCAAATAAAGGTAATTTTAAGCCCATTACTGTGCTTTTAAATGACCAAACGCATTTTCTACTACCCTGCGACATTTAGACAGTTGATAGTTGAATTTTTTTGTGCAGAGGTGTTGTTAAGACTAAACGGAAAAGGTTTCATTAAGTTTGGCGATAAGCGAAATGCAGAATCTCCTAGTATTAACACCGGAATGTTTACTGACTCCAATTGAATACTCATTTTATTAAGCAAAGCACAGTTATGCAGCTCTTGCTTTAATAATGACCTCTCGTAAATGAATGAGTCGTTGCATTTTCCTGGACTACCACCATTAATATAAAGAAAACGATATCTACAAAAGAGGTGTAGTTTTATTTACGTTAAAAATATACATACATACAAATATAGTTCAAAGTACCCTTTGTAATTGAAGTTGAACGGCTCCATCATGTTTTGGATGTATTTCTATGTGACAACCATCTTAGAAAATTAAATGAGAAAAATCAATTGAGTGAATCGTACAAATATATTTACGCCATAAAAACATACCAATTGCACCAATGCATTGAGGAAACCCAATTTGGTTGAACCCAGACATGCACTCTCGTATCTTTTCTCTACTGAGAGGGAAGTGATTAAGGTAAACAGGATGTAATACAATCCATGCTTGCTTGCAAAACTCTAACACGATTAAGCATACAGTCGATTTTGCAATTCCGAACATATTACCCACACTGCGGTACTCAGAAGATGATCCCAGGGCATACAGAGCAATGGCTACCCGCTTCTCAAGGCTAATGGCTTTCCTAAAATTTGTATCTTTCCTTTCCAAACATGAAAGAAGGCCGCATAGTTTGTTGAAGCTACTGCGCTTCATGCGAAAATTGTTCCTAAAGAACTCCTCCCCATTACATTGTCAATCAATCTCCCAAAACATACCCCTCCGATTCTACAACGGCAAAGACATATGTATTAATAAAAATTGAATAACAAGAACTAGGAAATGTTGGTCTACCAGTTTCCAACGCATTTTAGTATGCGGTTTCTCCAAAATTGTTAATATCATCCATTGTTGATTCAAGCAAAACCACATCATATTCAATAAAAACTCACTTCTTGCACGGTAAACGGAAATGCTTTCAGCGCAAGCATACTTTTGGATGGTTGTAAAATATATTTTCACAATAAACAAAATAATATTTATATTTGAAGGCATTTTGGTAAAAACAAGAACGATGTGATCAAGAAAATTAAACAAGCAAATGTCAACAAACAAACGTCAAATCAAACTCTAGGTTTCTGAAACACTCCAATGTGAACGCTTGACAGTTGTTCATAAACACAAAACCTCAAACTCGAGTTTATGGTGCAATGTGAACACCATTTAACAGCATTGCGGGATTAAAAACAATCGGATATTTTATTGAATGGCTGTGATACTAAAAAACAGATGGCGCCGCCTTCAGTACCATTCTGGCAGCACTGCCAGCAACTTTTGTTTCATGATCATACAAACATCAGCTCCCAACAGCATCAACTATTTACTGAGCGTTAGAAACAGATATTTTGAATTTTGTAATTTTCGTATAATTAATATTAGGGTGTGTATTCTTAAGAAACAATTATAATTTAGTATAATGGTGAGATCGTTGTTTAAACAGCGCTTAGAAGCCATACCAGATGTGTCAGACGAAAAACAATTCTTCTTTCTCATTCCTTTGGCTGTTTCAGAATTTGGGGAATCTATAACTTCAATTCGATGATAGTTTTCATAATTCATTTTTAATACTTTCTTCTGCGGCCGATTTGAAAAATGTATGCTTATAGCGAGCTAAATAAGTTTTGAACAAAGTTCTGTTTTCAAAGTCGTGGCTGCCAGCCGACTCGGATCAGAATATTGTTATTTTTTTAAAACGCACCCCGTTTTTTATAAACACCAGAATCTCAGATAGTTACGTTTTTCTTACCTAATTACCGAAAGCTTTTTAGTTATTTTAGCATCCCTTCTCTTTATAGCCAGAAGTTGATTATTTCTGCTGGAAAACCCTATTGAAGGAACTTACCCTTTGTTTTTAAATACCAAAAGAGGGCGACGTAGGGGGGCAGTTTTAAAACAGAAACTTTTAGCCAAGGATCCAATCTATATTCCTATGAGAAAAATGTTGCCCGACGAGAAAAAAAATTACTGTTTTTACTTCGAAACTTTAATATCGTAAAAATCTATTTCCTGTGGTACGGTGACTTGACTTGATTTGACAAAGGAATAGAATAATTTCCTTATATTTCCTTTCGACTGCGTTGGCCTGGAAGTTATCCCAGCTTGTGCAAAAAAATACAATCGAAAAGGTGATGGAGTGACAATAATACTGAAAANTACGGTGACTTGACTTGATTTGACAAAGGAATAGAATAATTTCCTTATATTTCCTTTCGACTGCGTTGGCCTGGAAGTTATCCCAGCTTGTGCAAAAAAATACAATCGAAAAGGTGATGGAGTGACAATAATACTGAAAAACAGACGGCGCCGCCTTCAGTAACCTGCTGGCAACATTGCCAGTCCATCACCTCTTAACAGCGTCATCTATTTTCTGAGCGCTAGCAACAGACAATTTGAGTTTAGTAATTTTTTTGTAATCAAGAGGCTGTTCGAATAGATCTCTAGTGACAATTATCTAGCAACAACTTGCAGGAGAGAAACGAACGATTTTGAAAAGAATTGAAAAACAAACGCGAACGCAAAATCAGCACCAATTTGCAAGTTTTTATTACAGCTGATTGAAGTCCCCTGTTTTTTTATATTCCCATTTAAATCCCATGTAGTACGAATTAAAAAAATATGTATTCTCATTTGTGTTACTTCATTTTAATTAAGGTGTATGTGACAATTTATATGGTATTCTTAACACAAATTGACGTTATACAAAAAATTACAAATTGCATGATATACCTATGTAATAGGACTTACAAGTTTAACCTAACACGATGTATGTATGTATATGTGATAATTAGCATAACGTATGCGTCATACGTACGACAACGTATACCGTAAACCTCTGACAATTTATGCTTTATCCCTAACATAAGGAATACGTTAAAGCTATGACAATTTACACGTTATCCCTAAAATAACGTAAACCGTTTACTTTAACCAACGCGCACGTTATATCAAAAACTACTAATTCGTTATACGAATGAAAATTTAAGCACAATTTCCATAATATGGGGTAACGCTAGAATACAATCGGATATTTTATTGAATTGCTGCTAAAAAAAAAACAGATGGCGACGCCTTCAGTAACCCTTTTGGAAATACTGCCAGCAACCTTTGTTTCATTATCATACAAGCATCAGCTCTCGACAGCGTCATCTATTTACTGAGCGTTAGTAACAGACATTTTGATTTTTGTAATTTTACTATAATTAATATCAGGATCCGAATCAAGCATTTTTATTAAACAATTATAAATTAGCATAATGGCGAGATCGTGTTTAAACGATAAATAAATTATTATTTTCCAGAAAGAAAGTTTTGAACAAAGTTGTGTTTTCAAGGTCGTGCCTGCCAGTGGAATCGGATCAGAATATTGTTATTTTTTTAAAAAGCACCCCGTTTTTTATAAGCATCTGAAGATAGTTTCGTAATTCTTATCTGATCAAAGTCAGACCGATAGCTTTTTAATAATTTTAGCATATGCTGGAAATACCTATTGAGGGAGCTTACCCTTTGGCTTTAAATAGCCAAGTAAGGAGAAGTAGGGGGACAGATTTACCAAAGCAGTTTTTAGCCAAGGATCCAATGTATATCCCTATGAGAAAAATATTGCCCGACAAATAAACAAAATTACCATTTTTTAAATTAGAAGTTTACCATTTCTGCTGGAAAACCCTATTGAAGGAGCTTACCCTTTGGCTTTAAATAGCCAAGTAAGGAGAAGTAGGGCGACAGATTTACCAAAGCAGTTTTTAGCCAAGGATCCAATGTATATCCCTATGAGAAAAATATTGCCCGACAAATAAACAAAATTACCATTTTTTAAATTAGAAGTTTACCATTTCTGCTGGAAAACCCTATTGAAGGCAGTTTTCCTTTGTTTTTAAATACCAAAAAAGGGAAACGTAGGGGGGCAGTTTTAAAACAGAAGTTTTTAGCCAAGGATCCAATGTATATCCCTATGAGAAAAATATTGCCCGACAAATAAACAAAATTACCATTTTTTAAATTAGAAGTTTACCATTTCTGCTGGAAAACCCTATTGAAGGAGCTTACCCTTTGTTTTTAAATACCAAAAAAGGGAAACGTAGGGGGGCAGTTTTAAAACAGAAGTTTTTAGCCAAGGATCCAATCTATATTCCTATGAGAAAAATGTTGCCCGACAAGGAAACAAAATTACTGTTTTTACTTCGAAACTTTAATATCATAAAAATCTATTTCCTGTGGTACGGTGACTTGACTTGATTTGACAAAGGAATAGAATAATTTCCTTATATAGGTTTTCGACTACGTTGGCCTGGAAGTTATCCCAGCTTGTGCAAAAAATAGGTTTTCGACCACGCTGGCCTGGAAGTTAGCATAGTTTGTGCGAGTGAAGGCGCCGCCTCAGTAAGCTGCTGGCAACCCTGCCAGTCCATAAACCCTTACCAGCGTCATCTATTTTCTGAGCGCTAGCAACAGACAATTTGAATTTCGTAATTTTCCTGTCATCAAGACTAACGTCGTCTCGAAAAGATCTCTAGTGACAATTATCCAGCAGCAACTTGCAGAAGAGATTTGAAATATCCCTGCAGGGAAAGCTACTAGTTGTGAACTAGAATTCTACCAGTTTGCGTTTCAGCCCAACTAGTTCACGTTCTATCCTTTTTCAATGCTAGCGACTGGTATTTTTAACATTGCGATGTCCTACGAGATGTCAATTGTCAGGCTATGCATCAGCATCTACTAGTAGAAATACTAGTAGCATCATACCAGTTGATGAGATAGGCTGCCAATTCATCCTCTATGAAAAGCTCGCGGCACTCCAACAGTCGCAATGGCCGACAGAGCAAAGCACTCGCGTGGTATGCCTGAGGTACCAGGTTCAAGCCCTGGTGCAGGGAACATTATTTTATTTTTATTTTTTTTATAACATTTATTTTTTTTATATTTTTTATTTTGGGTTTTTTTTATTCTTAGATTTAATAAAAAAAAAATATTTTTTTTATCTATTTTTTTATGGCACAAGTAATTCTTCCCATATATTTGTTTCTTTTTTTTTGTAATGCAACTAGATTTTGAAGTTTGTTATTTATATTTAAATTGAAATAATTATTCCTACTTACATTGATCTAACTTTAAAAATCTTAACCACCTCCAAGCGGCCTCGAACCTGCGATCCCAGAACCAGAACCAGTAGTCTTCACGTGACGCCACAGCCGACATTTGTAAGAAAAGCAATTAATTGCGTTTTATTTTAGGCTTTGGCAATTCAAAGGCAGATGTCGCTGAACGCTTAAGTTCTTCGAAAATGTCGAACTGGTAGGCACATACTAGTTTATGAACTAGTATTTTTTCTAACTGGTTTGGGTTTTCACTGCAGGGATATCACAAAAAGTACGCGAACGCAAAATTAGCGCCAACTTGTAAGCTTTTATTACAGCTTATTGAAATCCCCTGTTATTTTAAATCCCATGTAGTACGAAATAAAAAAATATGTATTCTCATTAGTGTTATTTCATTTTAATTAAGGTGTATGTGACAATTTATATGGTATTCTTAACACAAATTGACGTTATACAAAAAATTACAAATTGCATGATATACAAGTTTAACCTAACACGATGTATGTATGTATATGTGATAATTAGCATAACGTATGCGTCATACGTACGACAACGTATACCGTAAACCTTTGACAATTTATGCTTTATCCCTAACATAAGGAATACGTTAAAGCTATGACAATTTACACGTTATCCCTAAAATAACGTAAACCGTTTACTTTAAACAACGCGCACGTATAAAACTACTAATTCGTTATACGAATGAAAATTTATTTACATATATGTATTCTCAAAACCCAATGTAAACAGTATACCTAACACAACGTATACGTTATACCAAACACAATGAATACGTTATGAGGATGACAGTGTATACGTACCTATTTAGCTTTCAAACTTTATTTGTAAAGAATATTGTGGAACGTGTCCTTCGATGTAAATTATTATTTATTTATATTTGTTGCAATTTGAATTGTCTTCGAACGGACAGCGTAGTATAAATTGTTTGATCAAGCTCTGCACGAACA